ATTCCACTCTTATGGAAATCATACATTTTTGGGTTGATTAGTACTGGTATAGTTAGCTGAAATTCATTAGAATAAGAATGGAGTGATTGTAAAATAATTCATGTAAATGCAATACCGAAAGGGGAAATAAATATTAATTGCTCTTTGGTTTTGGTGTGTATACTCATATTAGTTACTCTAACTTACCTTTAATTTGCAGGTATTGGAATAGCAATGGTTTTGATAASCTTGTTTGGTTTTGGACTATGGGGATATGCCACAGTTAAGAGAAGAAAACAAATAAAACTTAAACAGAMGTACTTCAAGAAAAATGGTGGCCTATTATTAGAACGTCAAATCACCTCTTGTGAAGGCAGTGCTAGGGTTGAGAGTACCAAAATCTTTGTTGAAGAAGAACTGGAAAGAGCAACAGATAACTTCAATGAGAATCGAATCCTTGGAAAAGGTGGTTTTGGTACAGTTTATAAAGGGATGCTATCAGATGGAAAGATAGTAGCCATCAAGAAGTCCAAAGAAGTGGACGAAAACCAAGTGRATCAATTCATTAATGAACTTATGATTCTTTCACAGATCAACCATAGAAACATAGTGAAGTTGTTGGGCTGTTGTCTAGAAACAGAAGTTCCTTTGCTTGTTTATGAGTTTATATCAAATGGAACCCTTTCCAACCTTCTTCATGATGAAGACTATTTGCCATCGCTTTCTTGGGAAATGCGCTTAAGAATTGCCGTGCAAATTGCAGGAGCACTTGCTTATTTGCATTCTGCAGCTTCCATCCCAATCTTTCATAGGGATATAAAACCCAGTAACATTCTGATGGATGAAAAGTATAATCCTAAAGTATCYGACTTTGGGATATCAAGATCAGTTCCCATTGATAAAACTCACTTGACTACAGCAGTGCAAGGGACCTTCGGGTATTTGGACCCAGAGCACCTTCATTCAGGCCAATTCACAGAAAAGAGTGATGTTTATAGTTTTGGAGTAGTTCTTGTTGAGCTCTTAACTGGGAAAAAGGCGATCGATTCTTCGAGACCTAATGAGGCAAAAAGTCTAACTATGCAGTTTACATCTTTGATGAAAGAGAATCGTTTATTAAACATTTTGGAAACTCAAGTGGTGAAAGAAGCAAAGGAAGATGAGCTTCTGATTGTTGCCAGGGTTGCAAAGAGATGCTTAAAATTAAATGGAAAGAAAAGGCCAACCATGAAAGAAGTTGCAGCAGATCTTGAGAGAATAGTAAGATCTCATGAACCTTCACTCGAAGAGGATATGTGGTTGGAAAAAGGAATTTCATGCCACTACACCAATAATCTGACGGAGATAGACACTACTTATGGAAGTACTATTTCAACAACCAATGGCAAACATGAGGGCGATTCATCTCCATTGCTTTATTTGGTTTAAGCCTTTGATGAAGACTTAAAATGGTAATTAATTTTTCTTCTCAAGGCTTTAATTATCCAATAAATGGAAAGGTTTAGCCCAACTATGATTTCTAATTTGCAATTGAATAATTTGTACTCCTGAATTGCATCTTTGAACACATGTGGATGAAATGGAAATGTGTTTTGTTTAGTTAGTTGTTCAATAACTAAATAATAATTTCAAGAATGCTCTAGAAAAAGAAAAGAAAGGCCAGTTATATATTTAGCATAGAGCTTAGACATGATACTGGAACCAAGCAACCCGCATTATTGGTAGCCAATAAGGTGGGTTTTCATCCAGATTCATAAGGGTTTTGATTGATCAAAGCCTCTCCAATATCATGTCTTTCTGGCACCATAGGTTTTTCTATCTAGATAATTACAGTGGTGATTATCAAATTGTCAATAAAAAAAGGTTCCACTATGATATGGTAAAGATATGATATTTAAAAACAACTGACCAATAAATTGGAATCATAAACGTGATAGCGAATAAGATGTTATCTATCAAAATTTATGGGACTCTTTCCATACTATATCTTTTTTGCATCATAGATTTAAAATGTTGCAATTTGGCGTACAACTTTGGTGGATTAGGGTTAGGCTTTGTCAAATTTTGAATGAGCCCAGCCCAAAAACTGAACCCTGAAGTAATGTAGAATCTTAAATTCGAGTAGCCGACTTGCACCACTAGTTGTAATTGGATTTAGCAAAAAAAAAAGAGAAATTTTCAAATGATTTGCATTTTTGTTTGTTTTCAGTCATGATTTATACTCCTACCTGATGCATAATTTTCAAATGAATTACTGTTTTGTTATGGCTCTTATTAATGAATGTTATCTCGCATCTCGTAAAAAAAAAGAAGAAAAAAACTGATGCAGAAGTTGCAATTTTTTTTTTGGTCAAATTTGCACTCATTGGAAGTGCGAATTTCGCATCAGTTTTACATTTCCCAAAAACTGATGCAAAATTTGAACCTCCTTCCTTCTGGTATAATTTTCTCTTATGTAAAGTGGGGATCACATCATTTTAATTACTTCATATTGTATTCTACTCTTTTCAAACAAAAAAAAAAGAAAAAAGAAAAAATTTCTCACAAAGGAAATCCAACCTAAAACAACAATAATCCAGAATTTGAATTAAACTCATATTCACCCTCATTGATTTAAGCCATACAAACAAACGGGACGTAATGAATTAAACAATTACGGTTTAAACAAACAAACCGGGCCCAAAGAAATAAAAAACATCCCTGCCATTATGCGTGAGCCCATGAAGAAGTGGAGTATTGCGTCGGTCATAAGCCGGGTCAAATTTTACAATTTCACTGGAAAAAAAATCCCAGAAAATAAAGTGAATTCTGCCGGTCACACATTTCTTATTTTGGTAATGTGAAAGCCATGGTCAAGCCCTCTCAAAATCCATATCTATTTACTAAAATTAGAATTATCACCATTTTTCTATTTTTTCCTTTTTCGAAAATCAGAGAAAAGACTGACCGGAATCTTTGGCGTGGAAGGACCTAAGGACGAACCTCACCAGTCACCACGCCTCTATCGTACGAACCACTCCAACTGCCACTTCTCCTCCTCCGCACAACCCCGGCGTACATTAGCACTCCTGCCACACAATAATAGCACTTTAATCTTTATCATAATACGTATAAAAGTACCATACACTGATTTCATTCAATCGCAGCCGTTAATCTCTTAGATCTCGATCTCTAGACCATTATGTTTGTGACACGTGTATCGCATGTATCGCTTTACTGGTAAAACCAAAAAAAAGTTCCTGGAGCGAACAGTGGCACTCCCGTAGTTAATGCCCAACTAAATACCCTCCCCCGTCTTTTACGAAAAACGGTTTCCTTTATAGACCGTTAGAATACTCACAGTTCCGGACTTCACTTTGTACGGTACGTGACGTGCATTCCTCTTTTATTCTCAACGTCCATTTCTGCATGGTACGCGTTCGTCTCTTCACGACCAGAAACAAAACCCAACGGACAGGATTCCGAATCCGATCCTTATTCCTATCGGCCGAAACGTATCGGTTAACATTATTTTGATACTTTCAATCTGCATTGGCCAAATTTTAAGGCCTGGGATCCAGCAGAAAATTACAATGGAACAAAGAACCCGAATCCGTGAAACATGGGCGGAAATGTAATTATGGTAGTGGCGCTTTTGTAATTTCCAATTTTAATTGTTGAAGGGATTTCATTTCAGGGGACAAAACCGATACGGCTCACGTATCGCCGGCCGCATCGCATTACGTATGGTAAATGTACCGAGACTATGGTCATATAGGACCGGACAGAACAGAATTGCCCTGACTTTTAATGTGAAGTATAAACAATTTTGGTAGTGGCGGAATAGGGGTATTTTGGTCTTACACTGAAAAGAAAAACAATTCCATGTAACTGTAACCAGACAATAGCCATGATTGAGAAAAACAAGGCACGAGACGCCGGAAAACAGCAAACAAATTCCGGTCGGCTGGCCGGTTGTCCTTAGTCTGTACAACTGTAACCGTCGCCACGTAATAACAATAACAATTATAATAGTAAGAAATGAAATAAAGGAAGAAATTAACAACGTAAAAACCAGAGGAGAAACGATAGAATATTCCGGCGTGGCGTGTCAGATACCAGGGCGAACGGTGAGTCAGATATCGTTCGATGATTGATGGTTGGTTGGTTCGGTTAGGTCGGATAGAAGGTTAGAGCCAGAGAGCTCCGGCGTCCTTGAGGAGAGGAACCAAAGTGCCGTTAATATGACAGGACATGACGGTCTCGAGGCCACCCAGGAACTTTCCACCAATGAAAACCGCCGGGAGGGGCTGCTGGACGTCGCCAACCAGCTGGAACAGCACGGTCTGCATCTCTCTCCCACCTTTCTCCTCGTCGAGCTCGACGATGGTGGGTCCCACGCCGAGGCCGAACAGTAGACGCTTCACTACGTGGCACATGCAGCACCCGCTCAAGCTGAAGACCACCACCGCGTTCCCTGAGGCCAGCCTCCTCACCCTCTCGTAACTCGCCACAAGCTCCATCGGCATTACTTCCTCGTCACTCCCACTTCCCTCCATCGCTATACCGGCCTCCTTCATGAACTGCATCCTTCACTCTTCTTTTCACCTTCCAGAAACTTCTCGAACTACGAAACGTCTCGTCGTCTGCTCTGCAAGTGAATGAGTGAGAAAGAGGAATGGAGAGATAAACTCGCTTTAATGCAGCTTACGGAAGAGAACAATAATATAGTAACGATTGACTTCTAGGGTTAGATGATGTTGCGGCAGGCTCAAAAACAAGAGAAGACACAGTACTAATTAATGCTTCGTCATGCTCCTCTTCAAGGATCGAAGCCAGAAAGCCAACTCAGTAATCTCTTCTGGAGTTCAGGACTTCTGGGTATGGATCTGTTTTTAAGTACTTTGAAAGCCTTCCAGGTTTTGATGCGAAAAGCAGGCTCAGAAATAAGAAAGGAAGCGCAGAGAAGATAACAGAGGACAGGAGTTTCTTCCGGGGTATTTGTATATATTGAAGTGATTTGAAGAAGTTTGAGAGGAGGAGGATTGAGAAAAAGAAGATCGATCATCAATGGTTATAGGCTTTGACGATTAAAAAATGTAAGAAAAAGGAAGAAACCGATAATTAAAGAAAGGGAATTAGAGACAAAGAGCAGAGAAGATATCAGACCTGCTAGGGTTTCTGGACCCGGCAATCTCTGACGGATTGAGCTCTTCTTCTACGGTACTGCTCTGCTAATGATGCACCTTTAACGCATGCCTTCGATTCGACGACCATCAGAGAGAGAAAGAAAAATAGAGAGAGATTTTTAAATGGAGTTGTTTATGCTTTAAAGGAATGGAGATGTACGGACATTAACGGCGGAGAGTAACGTTTTATCCGAAAAGGGTTAATGTCGTTAAGAGGCAAGGGGAAATCGTTACGGGAAATGGAGATGTAAACCGACAAGTCGACAAATAACGTCTTCTACGCCGCCGTTTGACGACCAGAACGTAGCTTTCTTGCTGTCGCTTTGGGACTGTAACGCCGTCCACTCTCTGTTAATTTTATTCTCTCCCTCTCTCTCTCTGTCTGGGTTTGGCTGGACAACGGAGACGTTAATCTCGATGTAAAAAAAAGCTCAACCGACTCCAATAATCCTATGCGCTATGCCTAACGGCCATAGTGGCTTTGTTCTGAAGGAGTTTAATCTGGGTCATTAAATTTCAGACCGGCTAGGAATCAGGTCCAACTAAAGACCCGGTTGATGGTACCCGATTAACCTTGGACTATAGGAATAATGAAATATAATTATAAAAAAGAATTAGTAAATTTTTATGAAAGGTAAAGGTACTATATTAAACAGCATTAATATTTATATAATCATGAATAACTGGTATCCCAATGGGATAAGTATAAAAAGAAAGGGAGTTCCACGGGTAGCCCTTGGTCAACTGAGCCATTACATGGGCTGACACGAAGGTTCAAAATATTGATACATTTGATACGTGGATAGAGATGTATCCATAGTTGTTTCTTTATATTTTTATTTTTATTTTTTTTTAATTTGATTCAGAGGGGTAAGTTTAAGGTTTGTCCACCCCCTAAATCGATTGAGACCCCGAAATACCCTTATAAGGGTAATATTAAAAAGCCCCGATACGATATATATCAGCTGATATAACCTGATATTTTGAACCTTGGCTGACACATTGTATTTTCTATTTACATGACAATAAGAAACATAGCCAAATCTATAAGAAAGAGCCCTAGTCTTCATCAGAAGGCAATGTCAAGACCAAGGCAAAACATTCCTCTCTTGTAACTCATGCACCAATTTTTGTGAGTCTAAACATAAAACCACACTCCCAGGATTCCATTGCTGTACATGTTCAAAAGCCTGCAATACAACAAAGAGCTCAGCTTGATCAATTGAATCTAAATTATCAATTCTACCACCATATATATTTCCAAACAGGATAAAATTTTCGTTAACATGATGATCCCAAACAGGATCGTGTAATAGATCCTACATCATTGAATATGATAATATTTGTTGAATGCTTAACTTGAAGCGTAAATTTTGGCAGTAATCTTGTCTATAACTTAGATCAGATTGTGAGGGCTAGAATTTTGAAAAACCTGGTTAATGATGATCAAAAGATTCTGCGGAATAATTTGGTAATTTCTGAAACATTTCTCATTCCTAGCAAACCATATATAATAAATGGCAATGGCATACCATCCTAAAGCATCAAAAAAACAACTCTTTATCTGAGAGAAATGCTAAGAGCATTAATGCACCCATGACATAACACATTCAAAGAACTACATTCAAAGAACAAATGATTCAAAGATTCAACAAACCCATGACATAACACACACTGTTTATCTTGCTGGTCCAAAAAATTTGTATCTATGACTAGAACAAAATTACTAATAGCCCTCCAAAAAAACAACTGAAAACGAGGAGGAATGGCTTGAAGAATTAAGATTTGAAATTGGTAAACTCCTAAGAGTCTAAGACACTCGTTGTGACACCATTGTAAAAACATTACTTGATTGGATCCAGGGAACTTGATCCAGAGAGGTTTGAGAATTTTCTTTCACCAGGTAGCCACATTCTGAACCCAAACTCTTTGATTTTTGGAGCTACTGATTTCCAGTAAAAAGATCTTGATTTTTGAATTGTATGATCGAGGAAACAAACTATTGTTTTTTAAATAACGTGACTTCCACACTTGAGGCCATAATTTATGTTGTTCATTTATACACCTCCAAGCCAGTTTTTTTTTTAAAAGGGCCAAGTTTACCATTTCCAAATTTTTAAGCCCTAAATCTCCGAAAGCTTTTGGTAAGGTTATCTTGTGCAAAGAACACCACTTATAAGGGTGACTTGAATCAGACTTTCCCCACCAGAAATTTTAATTAATTTTTCCAAAAAATGTATAGTTTTTTTTTTTTTGAGGAAATTGAATAATACTCACTGAATGTAGGGGAATGAACTGAAGAATAGCTTGGATAAGGACTTTCTTACCTGCCTGGTTGAGTGCTGAGGCTTTCCACTTATTCCTAAATATCTAGAATGAGGATTGTGGTCATTGATATGTAACTGCCTTTTAATCATCCTTTGATGGCGTGGGTGAATGTATTTACAAAAAAGTATTCCTGTTTTCTCAAAATTAATTACCTATCCTCAGCTATGTTGAAATTGGTTTAAAATCTATTTCAAATTATCCAAATCCTCCCGATGAGCTCTAAGAAACAACATGATATTATCAGCAAAGAATAGGTGAGAAATGAGGGGAGGAATGATTCAAAATTTTAATAATCTACAAAATCCCCTCATGTTTAGCCTTGAGAAGCAGGCGGGGAGACCCTCCATAGCTATAATAAGCAAGTAAGATAACACGGGGTCCCCTTGCCTTAGGCCTCTTGAAGGAGAAAAGTGTCCTTCAAAAGTACCATTGATCAAGATAGAAAAGGAAAGAGTGGAAATACATTCTTTAATCATTTGAAAGAATCCTTTTGAAAACCCTAGGTGATGGATCATTTTTAACAAAAAGGATCGTTCTAATCTATCGTAGGCTTTAAACATATCTAACTTTATTGCCACATAGCATATACCTCTTTTATGACTTTTCAAAAAATGAAACATTTCATGAGTGATAATGGAGTTGTCTAACATGTGACGTCCCAGAACAAAAGCAACTAGCTTGAGTGGGAGAATTAATAAATTAACATTTTGTTTTGAAATGTATACAAAACAAGAAAGTTCACTTATTGGATATAAATGGATCCGGATTGGACCCGACAGGTTTGCCACCCTAAACCCATCTTCAGAAGCCAAAACGTGGAAAGTGTGTAGGTAAAAGCTAGAGTTGTAATGTGGGTTGGGCCAGTGGTGGGCCGGCATGGCCCGACACGATAGGGGGTTGTGCTTGTTACAGTAGGTCGCTATAGTACCATGTCAAGCCTAGGCACAACATAGGAATCCGACCTTATCAAGCTAGACTGTGGAGAAAACCGGGCCACCAAGGCATGGCCAACACAAACTAGTGACATGACAGTGCACACTACGAAAATGTAGCCAGTGGGGGGCCCAACAACTATATTCATCTTTTGGGGTTATTTGAACTAAAATACCCCCAATAGCTATAAACCGCCACTAGGGGCATTTATGTATTTTGGATCGTGGGGAACAAAAAATGATTTAAATGCCCCCAAGGCCCCAATAACTATATAACAACTAGTTAAGCGATATTTAATTCAAATAACATAGAACCCTTAAAATTACCAAAATACCCCATCTAATAGTCATAACTAGTTTTTTAGGGTATGGCACTGACCATTTGTCTAGACACATGGAATCTCACCTGAGATAAGGAGATGATCCAAACCAAATACAAATTTATCATGGGTATTTGGTAATTTCCAATATTTCCAAGAGAAAGTGAGGCATGAATTTGCTAAATATATTGTAAATGCTGAGCATCCCTTTATGTTTTCTAAAGACCTAGGTAGGAAAACTTCGCTACATTTTGTTAGTCCTCTATTTAGGAAACTTCTAGGAATACAACTAGAAATGATGCTTTAAAAAATTTTCCAATATATAAGCAAGATTTAATTTTAATTTTTTATAATTTAGATTCTAAAATTTCTCTTATGTCTGACATATGGACATCCAAATATAAAATGTATTTCAAAATTGAAAATACATTTTTTTCTATTACTTTTTGATAATGCTAGTACTAATGATTCTACAATAAAAATGTTAAAAATCAATAAAAACTAATCTTTAATGGAAAATTATTTCATATTAGGCGTGTATGTCATAATTACCCTTCAAAATAAAACATTGTTCATCATCTTCTTCCTTTCACATTTCAACGGGTTACTCCATCAAGCCCTCCAACGCCCTTTTAACTCTACCAGCTCTAAGAATAATACCCGCCTGCTTACAACATACAACACCAAACATGCCGAGCCTGTCACCACCACTGCCACATCCTACGAGGACTACGCACTCCTATCTCTTCTCCATTAGAGAAAGACAAAGGAAGCATGGCTTACCTACTCT